ATCAGATCAAACTGAGTTATGGTGAAACCTGAGGTGTCACGATTGTTACAACCCCCGGTCCTAACAGCCTTTCTGTATGTCTGTCTGCCACCATTTTGTGTGTTCCCTCTTGTATGTTGCTTTATGTGCAGGTCTGTGATTGGCCACATGGGTCGTTCCCCTTTATGAGGTCGCCGAGCCACCATCTTGGGAGATGTTCACTGCTGTCTCCTTTCTAATGTGACTAATATGAAGAAAACCTGTCCAGACTGACCCAGCACTCTTCACTCTGCTTCACTTCGCCTCCATTGTTAAATTTGCGATGGTTTTATTAGTCTTTGTGAGGGGAAAGTAGGGGACAAGTGCTGTTTTGTTTGGTTAACTTTTCTCCTGTTTTGATGTAGGGAGTTACGGGGGTCATCTGTATTTTCATTTCATTTAGTTTTAGTTTAGTTGGATTTGTAATGGTTAGTTGCCTTGATTATTATTTTGGCATATGTTCGTCCCTGAAGTCATCACTCCATTCAGCTTAGTGTCTTGTTATAAAAATAGACATGAGCTGGTTTGCTGTTTTAAAAATGTCCGGTGTTTGGTCTGGCAACAGGTCTGGGGAGAGAGTCCCACTCTCACTTTCTGCTACAGCCTGACCCTAGACCGGGTCGTAACAGAACTGGGGGCTCGTCCAGGATGAAAAGACCAGCCGAATCTTCTTCATTCTTAAGAAAGAAGTTACGAAAAATTGCTATTCTTCAAATAACTTCTTAAGAATTATCTTACTTTATTTTCTTAACTATCTTCTTAATCTTTTGAAGAATAAGTGGAATTCTTGAGAACATTATGTTATTAAAGGTTTCTTAACATTATGATAGCCTTACACTTGTCTTAGGCTGTAAGAGTAGACAACTACATTTATCAAACATGGACACTGTCTCCGGCGCTCCTGCCCATCCTCGTCCATCACCCAACAATTATCATATTTTCCAATGAGGATTTTTTTCCTGTTGGATATTTTTTCCACCATCACCTCTAGTTCTTGTTTGCTAATTTTTTATACTTGGTGTGATGTTTTTCCCCATTTTGCTGTCATCTGAGTGGATTTAACTAATAACAGAAATAACAGTTAATACAAATTCAAAATGTATCTCATGTCATTTGCGGTACGTGGTAAAATGCAACACAGCATACATAAAAAACAATGAAGATTTTCTTAAGAAAATCTTAAAAAGATCATTATTAAGAGAATATTTAACAACTTCTTAAGTTTTCAAGAACTGCATTTAGGAACAATTGGCCTCACTCACAAATATCCTGCTAGGTTTTTTCTTAAATGTGTTCTTGAGAAAAGTCCTAAGAAAAAGTCTACATCAGATTCATGACGTGTTCTGAAACCACACCTTTGTGCTCTTGAGTGTGTGTAGATTCTGTTCTTACCTAAGAACAAATCCCAAATAAGAAAACATAGGTGAATGTCAGAATCTTTGTCAAAAGTGTAAGTGGATTTAAATCTCTTCTTAAGGACGGTTGGTGAATGAGGCCCATTCTTATGAACATCTTAGTGTTTGTCTTAAGAACCTTCGCAAATTTTTTCTCAAGAAAGCTTTAGTGAATCCGGCCCCTGATTCGGTCAATTGATCTGACATTTGTTTGTAGGGTCTGCTTTCATATGAGAGAGACCTGATTTGATCAAATGACATAACATTACGACAAACTTAGCATATTTACTACAGTCGTACGCAAAGCTTTAGGTGCCCCTGGCCAAACTGGTGTGAAGTACACGTCTTCTACAGAGACCACTCTACTGCACATTTTAATGCACAATTACTGTTTATTTTCTGAATTTCACATATTGAGGAAAAACCAAAACATAAAATACAGCCTGTATCAATTCAATTCAGTAAATAAACAGGAATTGTGCAGAATAAAATGTGTAGAACAAAGTGTTCTCTCTGTTTAGAGGACGTGTTAACTTCTTTTCACTTAAAAATTCATCAAAACATGATTTGACCAACTGTTGAATATGACTGCATATATTAAAATAATAGAGATTATTTTTCTCCCAGTTAAGCCCTAAGGACTATTCAGAAGGGATTAGTTTTACATGGAGAGGTGGGTTAGTGGACTTTTACTGTAATGATTATGACTGATTCACACAAGACATAAAGAGACCTTGGTACAAATTACAGAGATGGGAGTGACTCCTGCATGATTTATGCATTGCCATCACACCAAAAAGTTCAATTTACAGTACATTCAGCTGCTCACAAGAAGAAAATGTGTAATTTCATTTAATCATAATTTCTTTTAACCTAGGCCCAATCCCATTTCACCCCTTGCTGCTACCACTTAGCCCCACCCCTCTGTTTTGCACGCTCATGCCTAGGGTGAAGGGTGTCCCAATTTTTCTTGAGATAGAGGGGTAGGGTGAAGTGTTAGGACTACAGGGCCCTCTAAATGGAGATTTCTCAGAGGCACACTCCAAACATAGTGTTACGAGAAAAAAATGTATGTTACGTTTTATGGTCCTTTTCTTCATAAAAAGCACAAAAATTGCTAGTAGTATGCTGATGTCTCAGTAGCTAGCTATCTAAATTTCCTGTTCCATCTTAAATGGTGCAGCAGTTACTGACATGGTGGATTCAGACAGGACAAAGACCACCGAGAAACACCAGTAATAATTACATTATTCAACATCCTCATGTAAAACTAATCCTGCCTGAATGGTACTATAGATAAATATTCATGCCAATATGTCTTTCCCTTCTCACAAAGCACGGCTAATCTGGGATGGTACAATCAATGCATACGAGTGCATATGAATATTTTCCAACTACAAGCCACAAAACATTTAACTAGAGTGTATTAAGAGCAATGGAGTTGCACGATACAGACAAAATACTGGTACTGCAATTACATTGGTACATGGTGATGTAGTGAAATATATTACAAATGTACTAATGAATCAATAACGTGATGATTTAAGATTGCATTAGTTTGACCAAAATAATTTCCTCTTTCTGGATTACATAAATACTTTAATGAATACATCGGAAGCTGTGATTGGTTAGAAGGCTCACAACATAAAACCACTGAAAAAGCCATTACTGCAATAACAATTAATCAATAAACAATGTATGTATCTCTACTAAGCTGACTACATGGCACCACTAGCATACAAACCTGGACCTCGGTGCTAAGGCTGACCTATGTACTGCTAAGCAACGGGTTCTCTTGTTATGACACGTAGACGATTCTTGCATAGTAATAACGCTGATGGTGACAAGCGTAAGCTGTTAGCACACTGTAGGGCCAAATGGAAGAAACAGAAATGCTACGCAGCTGAGAGTGATGACAGGTGGAATACACCTTCTAAACTGCTATGCAGGCGATGTTTAAAGCCCCAGAGCAGAAGGTCAACTCCTGTTCATGTAACTTTCACAGAGAATAGCTAATGCTCACCGCGAGAGAGAGCGAGAGAGAGAGATTCCAGCAGACTCAAGCACCTGCTCGAGCCTCCACGGGCAGATGAGACGTTAAATTGCCGCACGATTCAAAGGTTGATTAGGATTACGCAGTTCAAACGGGCTTAGGTTGATTAAAGATCAGAGCAGCTGAATAAAAGACATGGGCTTAAAAACCGTAATTACTGTACATTCTTCTTATTACTGTAGCTGAATTGCTGTAACCGTGGGACAGTTGTTTAATGGTCTGGTTCTTTAAACCTTTCGGTTACATGACCACCAGTTTTGGAAATGCCACACAGACGAGAGAGGAACTGAGTTATCAATTTTGCTGTAATAATTTAAAGGCCCGTTATCATGCACAACCAAAAAAATGTACACACTGCTGAAATTACACAATGTAAATTGACTCCCCACTGCACAAAGTCCATATGTGGAAACTAATCTGAATTTGCTGTTTTTGTGATGTCACTAAAACAACTCATACATACAGCTGCCTATTCAAGTACAGCAGTTTGGCCCCATCCATATGCAATGAAGTTATAAGGAGTGTTTCAGCCCAGACTGCTTTTTTGAATGAAGTACAATACAGGGCAGCCAATCAGAACAGAGTATATTTACATACATGACTCTTTTAAAGAAACAGTAACAAAAACTGACTGTTCAATTAAAGGATAAGAAGAGGTTGGAAAATGGTCAGGTAAAATGAAACTGTTTTTGGTACTAGCTCCCAGACACACATCATGTGCACTTCTGGAAATAAATATATTTATATGTATTTTTTATGATATTTTAAAGCTTTTAGAACATAAAAATTCTATCCTACAAGCTTTCAAAGATGTATATTCTAGTTTATCCCTAATTCAACTGGCAATGAAAGCAAATAAAAGGCCTGAGTGGCAAATCAAATCATGAAAATATGTCACTTTAAGGTGCAAAATAAGGGGATCCTGAGGGTACGGCACCTCCTAATTAACCTCTTAGACTCACTGAATGTCTCAAAATCAATCAAATCAAATCCCTGAAAATGAAATTATGATCTAAAATAGATGCTAAAGTACTAATTCAGGGAAAAGTCACTGTTTAGCCTGCTTAATGCATGAAACAGAAAGCTTATGTCTTGGTCTGTCTCAGGGTGGCACTGTAGCAAATTGGTTCACCCAGTTGGTCTTTCATAGCCTAGCAACTGTAACACACTGGGACACCTTTGAAAACCTTTACAATATGCTGTAGCATATTTGTAACTCTGAAAACCTGCCCAATTTCCCAATATTTTGTTGTAAAATGTGAATTGTTACTCATGTAAACTCACAATTAATGTGTGGAAGAGCACATTACCAAACCAAGAAGCATTTCCAAAAGAAAAATTTAACCTTAAATTTTGTTGCTACTGAAGCTAGCATCAGCGCCGCTATGCCAAGCGAGTTAACAGCCAGCAAATGCTGGAGTAGCCAGCCAACATGGGACCCCCTGAATACCAGGGTGTATTTTGCACACTGGTTACTTGCATGACTCATCTAACAGCTCTGATGATGGATGCCAGCGAGAGAAGTGTAATGTTACCTGTAAGCCCTCGATGGCCAATCTCAGCATACTTGGAGTCAGTTTGGAAGCTTGCTTAAAAGTGAAGTTACTCCAGTCGATGATCAGCACAAATCCATTAACCTGTAGCTCGGGGTCTTCGATCATCGCCTCCAGTGACAACAGAATAGCTCGCAGTATATCCACAAATGTGTACCTGACAACAGAAAAGAAAATTTAGATTTCTGAGTCTTTGAAAGATTTTTAAGACACGTGTACCGATAGACCTCAGTGTGGATCTTGAGCCCCTGCTACTTTGCCCTCATACTTAGTACCCCCTCTGGTGTGGTACTGACCACTTTCCCCTCAGAAACTTTCTTCAGACTTGTCATGCATCTCCACAGCACTGGAAATGTTGACAATGTCTAAAAAGAGTATCATAATCCATAATGTGGTGATTTTGAACAACAACCTAGCAAAATGTCAGCAGTAAGATGTGACATTAACTTGCTAAACTGGGTTTATGTTATTGTCCAAAAATTCAGGGAGCTCTATGTAGATATAACTGACCACTGAGTAATCAGTACAATGGGTAACATTACAGCCTTGCGTAACAGATGCTGTTTTGGGAAAAAAGTCCTTAACAGTATGTTTGGTTTCCTCTAATAAATGACAACAGTCTCTCTTGATAAGAGACAAGTTTGCAATATACTGTAAAGTAATTTATTTCCAGAGATTTTTCAAAATTTCAAACTCATTCAGAGTGGTGTGATGTGAAATGCTCTATTCTAGAGCAACTTACCAAGCTAGAGTTGTTTCCAGTGGTGGTGATAGGAACCAGACATCTGAAGCCAACTCCCTCACAGAAAGTTATCAGACAAAATGGTTCTCAATATGTTGCCTGGTGCCTGAGGTATTGTTTTATGACTATACAGAAATAAGGTTTTGGCCTAAATCATTCATATTTTTTAAACTGTTTTGGAGGAGGGGTATGTGTAGTGTGTTATAAGGCAAATATTTTATTATGTTAGCAAATATACAACAATTGTATCAGTAACATTATGTGCAAAAACCCATGTATCGCTTCACTCGTTGTTTTGGATAGTGTATAAAATAGGTATATATTGTGTTGACCCCTGGTTCCTATCACCACCATTGTAAAGAAATCTGACTTGATCTGAATGAGGCAACATTTCACATCAAACCAACCTAAACTACTTTGATTACATCTTAACAAATTAACTATGTAGGAATTTTGAAAAATCTGTGGAATTCTCCTTATAAGTTTGATTTCCATTCATGTTGCCCTTTTCCCCTCAATCTTGTTAATAGGGCTGTCTGAAAACAACAGCTAATAAAGAACCTTTACATTACGACTTAAAACTTTAAAAAGGTCACACATCCCATTTACAATAATGGTTATTTAATGAACCATGTGCACTTAAAAGGTTCTTTAGGGAACCCAAAGTGTGTTTTATATGCCATTACTCCAATCATTTTGGCACCTTTATATTTTATGAGAACAGTTTTGAAAAGTTTTTTCAAACTTTTTTCTTGATTTACCCCTATGCTGCTTAGTTAATACTGACCACCACATAAGACGACCTCTGTCCATTATCTTGAAGCACTGAGATATATCACTAAACTGAGACAGGCCCGTATTTAATCCGGCAAAGAAATAAAAAGTGGAGGACAAAAAGATTGAAGTAATTTTTAGAGGTACTCAGACTAATCAAGCTAATGTAGGCCTATCTTGACCCTCCATGGTGTTTGTCACACGTTTTTGTGAGAAGTCTTCACCGCCCTCAGAGGCCATGGTGTGATTGGCTCAGATTCAAAGGCCCTTTAGAATAGACTGAGGCATTGTGTGCACTTCTCAGTCTAATGAGCTGAGATGCATTAGATTCCACTCTGACGATTAGCCACCAACGTCCACCATTCATGCAAGTGTACACAACAGTCTACTTGTGTTAATTAACTCCTACAAAGTTAAATGTAACTAAATTTAAAGAGAGGCTTGAATTTGACAGTGTAAATCCTTATGTAAGCCATTCAAAGTAGACAAACAGGACCATTGAAACTACTAATTCTGACAGACTTTGTGGTATTTCTCTCAAAAAATGTCATTAATGTTACTATAGAACCAGATTTGGAAATGCAATTAATGCAGTTAGTAAAACTGAGGGGGTATCACTGAAGTGACCTAAAAAAAAAGGGGGTTTTAATCTAATGCTCGGGGCCTGAATACAATCCATTGGCAAGTCTACATTTTCATTCTGTTCCAACTGTAAACATACAGTTACATACAGATTTAGTGAACGGTGAACATACATCCCTCGATTGCCTGTCTCACACGGCCTGGTTGGGGGGATCCTTGAGTACTGGATTGGCAAACAAAACTTGTTGTGTTGGGAACTGGAACAGAACCAAAACTGGCCTGGTTGGGGGGTCCTTAAGTATTGGACAGGGAAACACTATTAAACATCCCTTGATTACCTGCCACAGGTGTGGTAGGAACTGTAATAGATGAAAAATATTGCCTGCTTCAGGGGTCCCTGAGAAATGGACTGGAAAATGTTAAATACAGCTTGCTTACCTGCCTCAAGTGTGTTAGGAACTGAAACAGAACCAAAATATGGCCTGGCTGGGGGGTCCTTGAGCACTGGACTGAAAAATGTTAAATACTGCTTGATACCTGCCTGATTACATGCCTCAGGTGTGTTGGAAACCGGAATAGAATCGGAATTTGGCCTAGCTGGAAGGATCCTTGAGTACTGAATGGGCAAACAAAACCTGCCTCCTGCCTCAGATGTGTTAGGAACTGGAACAGAAGCAAATTTGGCCTGGTTGGGGGTCCTTAAGTATTGAATGGGGAAACAACACTTGATTACCTGCCACAGGTGTGTTATGGACCGGTAATAGAAGAAAAAATTTGGGCCTAGGTTGGGGGTCCTTGAGCACTGGATTGGGAAACATTGTTAAAACTACTTGATTACCTGCCTGACATATATCAGGAACCAGAATGGAAAAATGGTTGGGGGGTCCTTGAGTACTGGACTGGAAAACATTTAAAAATATTACTGCTTGCTTCCCTCCCTCAGGTGTGTTACGAACTGCAACAGAAACAAAATATAGCCTGGTGGGGGGTGGGGTCTTTGAGTACTGGAAAGGACTCAGGAGTTAGTTTGGGGCTGGAGTGAAAATTTAGACTGACTAGGTTTACTTGAAAACTGTGGGACTAGGGTTAAAATGTAGCGTAGGCGGCTTAACTGGCAGAGACGATTCTCAGTGTGCATGACCATGTGAATCTGAACTGAATACAGAAGAGTACAGTAAAAGCCCCTGACCTACAAAGCCAAGCATGCTGAACTAGGCCTCATGGTCGAGTGGTGCTGAAGGACAGCGCCGTTGCACGCAATTAGTGAAAAGCCAATATTACCTGCTTTGGTCCCAGTTGGCAGCGAAGAGGACGAGTATTTTCCTGCCGTGTCTGTCCAGGTTGGACAGCACCCCGGGGAAGCCGTCCTTCAGAGCCTGCTTGATGCCTGGATCTGTGGCCTTCAGGTTCTTGAACATGTCCAGGTTCTGCTGCCTGTACTCGAAGTACTGGGCCAGGAGGCGAAACGCCTCGAAATGGTTGAACTTCCTGGCCCTGAGGAAGCGCAGGATGAAGGCATCGTCTGTCCTGAGAAAGCCAATGTCCGGACGAGTGATGATCATGTCCCTCACCTCCTGGATGTCCTGATGTAAAGTGTCCGGGTTCTCCTTTAGCTCCACCTTGGCTTTCTCCAGGGTTTCTGGAGACAGGCCTGCCTGCAAATGAGTCATTGTGTCCTCGCCACCTTACGCGTATTTGACAGAGAGAGAGGGAGAGAGAGGGAGAGAGAGAGGTGGATCTACAGCAGAGAAGACAGGCTGATGATGCTCACCAATGCACCACTTTCTGAGGCTGTAATATGGTGCTCTCCTGGGTTCAGTCCAAATGAAAGCAGACTTCAGAGGCCGTCCTGAGTAAAACTGGCGCCCACCGTGCTTTATCTCCGAGCTGGACCAGTCTTACTCACCCTTCCGGCTCGTGTTCACCTGTAATGTGGATGTCTGGGCTGTTTTCCTCGCCTACATTCATCTGGTCGTTTCCATCGATGCTAAAATCGCCTTTCCAGCGCTTTAAAGTCCTGCCTGCTCTGCACGGGAGGGATCCGACTGAGAAGCATCTGAATCTGGCGAACGCTTTTTGTCCCCTTAACACAACACGAGCGGTTCGATCATCCTTCCCCAACGCCCCCCCTCAAAAACAAGAAAAGAAAAGATCTAAAAATGACTATCAGCCTTCAAATCCTCCATCAGGCTACACTATCCTAGTATGAAGCAGCCAGGCAATGCGGCACCCTGCAGCAACTCTTCTCACAAGTCTCCATTTAGCGTGCATTTCAGAGGTTGGCGAGGCAGCAGAAGACCGGAGAAAAAATGATTTCAAAAGTCAGACGTTCATCACGAACAAACATCGATCGTTAATCCAAAGCAGCTCCCAGCAGCGGATTTCCATCCCGTGTCTTTGGTAGAGACTGTAGGGCTTCGGTTGCAGTGCTAAAAGACTCACGGCGCCTCGCGTTAGTAATTTTTTTCTACACCCGTATTCGTGAGAGCCCCGCCTCCTGCGCTAGGATTGGCTATATGGTCTAAACCTCTATTCGACAATTGGCTTGTGGTGCCCCAGCTCCTGATTGGCTAGTATGATCTCGTCCCCTACGCTAGGATTGGCTACCTCGTGGTTTGCGTGTGGAGTCCTCCTCCTGTGCTAGGATTGACTAGAGGTTCATAATCCTGGGCTATGATTGGCTGGAGGTTTTCTATCCTGTTCTAGAATTGCTATCACCATCCTGGTTTCTGTGCTCGGATTGGATTACATGTATCTTACATCCTGTGCTATGATCAGCCAATAGTTTACATTCCTGCATTCTGATTGGCTAGTATTCTGCAACCTGCACTAGGGATGGCTAATTGTTAATGCTCCTGAGCCCTGATTGGTTTGTAGTTTACTCTTACACGCTAGGATTGGCTAGTAGTTGACACAAGCTTGTGGAATATGAACTACCAGCCAGTGGCAGCCCAGCAGGCGGGGCTTGCCGGAAAACGGGTGGGATTAAACAGCCTGGCTCCTGGTGCTGTGGCGGATGGTTTACGTCAGTGCTGCTGCTGCTGCCGCTTTGTTGCTGGTGAAAGTGACTTAAACCCGGAGATCCAGCCCGACACATGGGAGGGGGAGAAGGAGTGAGGAGAAAGCGCCCCCGAGCGGCGTGTTTCATCCTTCCACCTGCTCTGCCACCAGTTCCAGTTTACCGGCACCATTTGCCGCTCCTTTGAACATTTATGAACATTTCAAACTGTTGTGCCTGTTTAAGCTGCAGATTTCCCCCTTTATTCCCTAATCACAAAAGAAAAAGACACCGGGGTTAACAAAATACCTTAATCACAAATTAATAAATACACACAGGACTGCCTGACGCACAAAAGCCATTAAGAGGAGATATTACGTCACCAGAGCACTGGACCATACCATTGTGGACATAATATGAGGTGTTACCAGCATCCAGGAATCCAGATCCACTCTGCATTTCCAATATTGTTTACAATGATCTAGGATGAAAGTTTCTGAGCGTTTACAGTGATAGTACTTTTCCCCCAATACATCTTCTCCCTCATATTTTTTATATTGTGTAATTAACATACAGTACAGTACTGTGTAGTCAGAGGTCACTCTACATTTGTTTAATTTCAGTTTATAAAGTTTTTCATGTTCCAGCACCGGGAAAAGTGCAGAAAACATAAAATTAACAAGAAATAATACAGAAGCCTCCACGACTCATTTTTTTCAGTATTTTGACCACTTTTTGCATCTTGAGTATAAGGATTATATCTGGATGAGGACAGCCACATATAAACGCAAGTGTAAACACATTTAAAACAGATACAAATCCGATCACTCAAACCACTTCAGGAGGTGGTCTGAGACACATATGAGCCACATGTTATAGCAGCGTAAACACATCGGCCTCTCTAAGACACATTCGACAACCAAAACCCCACCCAGTACAACCCAAACTTCTCCCCATGCAGTACGTCACCGGGCATGTGCGGAAGATAATCAAGGAGGACGCGCTCGGTTGGGGTCTGGACGAAACAAAATAATTATCAGCAATACGGACAGACACTAGTGAGAAAAACAAACGGCAGACGACTTACAGGAACCATGCGATATTCTAACAAATATCTAAACACCTCCCGGAGAATGACTTCCGAAGAACATGGCTGAAGTGCCAACCAAAGAAAAAGAACCTGAAGCTAACATTTAGGAAAGGAAGGACAACAACAGTAACGGACCTGAACTGAACGGACTCACAATTGGTAATTAGTTGTTACATAACCAGCGGATTTGCATAATCCGTCCCACGGATTCCAGTCGGACTACCAAGTGTAAATGCAGCATACAATCCAGATACTCATCACATGACGTGACCAGGTGTAAACGGGTTCTTAGCATGTCCAATGTTTGCATTTATTGCAGCTTTCGTTCTTTTCAGGAGGCTTGCTTTCAGTTTTTCAAATAAATCTGCAGGAATATATTTCCACACCTCCAAAGTTCAGAAGTTGGTTGATTTTCTGCTTCTCAAGATCCAAATAAACCAAGCACATTTAGTGATGCTGAGGTCAGCCCACTGTTTTGAGAACATCAGCATTTTTTCTGTTTTTTTCTTTTTTTTTCGTTTAACTTTCCTCTTCTTTAGAAAAGTGGATTATCTTATATCACTTATATAAACAAAACCTGCATATGACATCAAAGGGCCTCCAGGAAGGTTTAACTGAAACAGGAGTGGTGGTGCACTGTTCTACTGTGCAGCATTGCTTTCTCAAACAAAAAAGAGTCACCAGAAGTAAACCTTACCTGAAACCTCATTACCAAAATGTCTGAACAATGTCTGAAGTATATAAAACAACATCAAGATAATACAGAGACATTTTTGAAAACAAGTGTTGTGGGCCGATGAAGTACAAATGGAACTCTTTAGCTACAATCACCAAAGGTATGTTTGGAGTTACAAAGGAGCAGCATTTGATGAAAAGAACACCTTGTTAACTGTTAAGCATGGGGGTGGATATTGTTATGCTTTGAATGTTTTATGGTTGTGTAGCTGCCAGTGGCTAAAAAGAAGTTGGCTTCTACAACAGGACAATGATCCAAAACATACATCAAAATCCACCACAAACAACCATTGAAGATCTGTTAGTAGATCTTAAACATGCTGTGCATGCAAGACGGATACTGCAGAATCAGAAGTGTTGTGCTAGGAAGAGTGTGTGAAAATTCTCTTAGCTGGACACAAAAATGATTTGCAGGCTGTGGTATCTGCCAAAGGGAGCATTACTAGGTACAAAAAGGGTGTCCAAACTTTTGCACATGTCACAAGTACTATTTAATTTTCTTCTCTTTTTAAGTTAATCAAATACAAATAAAATGTAATGTATAATATATACATATATATATGTAAACACTGTAACTATCACTCAGCCCCTCTTTCCCCCTTTGTAATGTGTGGCTTATTCCTGCTGGTCTGAATCAGCAGCCAGCATCAGGATTTCACCATGTTGCTTTCTGTGTCACAGACTAAAGCGAATGTGATCAAAAGCTTACAGGCTGTGCTGCGCAGGTTGGACTATCAGCAGTACTGTAGCATCAACAGTGCTTGTGGGTTTGCACACACACACACACACACACACACACACACACACACACACAAACCTGAATTAAGTAATTATGTACTTCTGTGCACAAAACATACACACACACAAACAACCCCCTCCATTCACACAAAAACACTTGACAAAGTTCAGTCATTGCTCTTGAGTGCCATCCATGCTGAGGCAGCCGCTATGCTATTCTATTCTGGTCAGCGTTCATTGAAAAGGCTTCACTGAACCCTGGATCACTCTCCGATGCTATATTTAAGGCCAAACACTCCACAACACAAAGCAAACAGTTGAGATGTTCAGTCAGTTGTTTTTGACAGAAACTGCGCAGTACAATGTTTGCTGGTACTCGTTGAAATGCTTTTATAGTCATATTCACATCTTAATTCTAATAAAGGTGATATTTTAAGACACAAATGAACCCTTGTGATAGACTTAATAGCCTTTTCATTGGAGAAGCCCCTTTAATTGTGCAATTGAGGTTTAGTTTTTACTCTATCACCCCAGAGACCACCTTTCATTTATTTAATTTCTAGTCAAAAGAGCAATTCAGTACAAGTTCTGAGCAGATTAGATATAAGATAATCCACTTGCACAAGAAAGAAGAAAGTCAGAGGACAATAATAGTAATATAAAACTGTTGATTCAAAACCTAGAGTTCAGAAAATGATACAGATAGAGAGAAAATGGGACTCCTAACAACCATGCAAGGCCTGGTAGACCACCAAAACTGCCCCATTAGATAAACGGCACTTGAAGCTTTCACCTTTAAGAGAGAGGGGATAAAATCAAGCTCCACTCTCTTCAGATCTGAAAATACCCACAGGTGTTTCTGTCCATCCTTCCAAAGGATGAAAGCATGTGTAACTGAAAAGAAGACTGAGAAAATAAGAACATTTGCAAATCAAGCAAAGAAGCTGCTGGTGTTCTCAGAACAATGAACAGATCACCTGAGGTCCAGATCTCAACATTACTGAAGGTATTTGGGATTAGTTGGATGGTCAGAAGCAGAAAATGCAACCAACTTCAAAGACTGAACTTATTCCTACAAATTTCTTTAAAAAGCTGAAAGCAACTGAAAGAGTGGAAGCTGTAATAAGGAATGGACACATAAAATGAAAAAAAGGTATTATATTCAGTTTTTGAGACTGTCTAATTTCCTTTTAAATATATGTGTTCAACTTTTTCCCTGATGCTGAAAAAATAATAACTTGCTCTTAAATGAAAAGGTGATCACTGGCCTTTGTAAAGCTGTGAATAGATATGGTGCATTGCATTGCAGCCCATGCATGTATAAAAACGTAAAACATATTCTGTTTGTGTTTATAATATTGGATATATCCAAATTGAAAAAAAGGCCCTTATCGCTGACTTCAGTTCTGTGTTTTTTCCTGAGATTAACTGAAGCATTGATGATTTCACTTCACACAGGGAGAGCCATTCGAGCCACACAGCTGGTTAGGTGTGAGGGTGTTTGTGCTGGGGGGCAGATGGGTGGGGCAATAGGGATAAAGCCACAGGCACGCAGGGTGGGCCAGAGGGCGCAGGCACACACAGCTGAAGTGTCTGAGTGTGGGGGAGGGGCTCCCTGGGGATGGCGAGATGGAGGGACCATAATTACATTCAGCTCTCTGGGAGATGTAGAGGAAATCCACTGAATGGCTCCACTTGCATAAGAAATTACCTTTGTTGCAGAAGAGCAGCTGTCATTTAAAATGGGTCAGTCGGCCATTTTGTCCTCTATTTTTAGAGTCTGGGTCCTTGAGCAGTCGTGGAAAGACAAGGTGGATAATTTGACAAGGACACAAAGAGAATTAGAGTTCATAT